TAGAATTAATAATTACTAAGCAAAATAAGAATTAGAAGAAATACAAATTTAGCTAAATGAAAGCTGAAATAAATATTGAGCCAAATAAAAATTAGGTTGAATAAAAACTCAGCTAAATAAGAATTAGAATAAATATTATGTTAATTAAAAATTAAGCTAAAAAATAACTAAATAAATTCAGTTAAATAAGAATTAGAACAAATAAGAGATTAGGCTAAATAACAAATAGAATAAAAAAATATTAGGCTACATAAGAAAAGGAATAATTAAAGATTCGGCCAAATAAAAATTAGGTTAAATAAAAATTAAGCTAAATAAGAATTAGAATAAATATAAAAATTAGGCTAAATGAGAATTAGATGTTAATTAAAAATTCAGTTAAATAAGAATTAGAACAAATAGAGATTTGGCTAAAGAAGAATTAATTTAAATAGAAATTAAGCTAAATAAGAATTAGAATAAATATAAAAATTAGTCTAAATGAGAATTAGATTTTAATTAAAAATTCAGCTAAATAAGAATTAGAACAAATAATAGATTTTCCATGTTAAATTCATTTGGAAATTATAAAATATTTTTTCTTTGTTTTTTTTTGAAGGTGTTTTTTTCAAAATATTTAGTAAAGATGGCAGGGAGAACGTTATATATACTTGGTTTGAAAATCAATAAAGGGTTTGAAGAGGGGGTAGAATCCTAGTGCACAAGACCATTTTCATGTTCTCGACAATAAAACGTCTTATTGTTATAGTTTACATTCTTTGACAGGTCGACAAACTGTTTTTGTTCAAATTCTCTCCATTTTGAATGAAAGGAAAATCAATTTTTTTTCTTCACATAAAAAATTTACCCTATAATTTTTAATATTATTGATATCAGTGTACATAGTGCGTGACAGTGACCCAGCAAGATGTCAGTGAAGGTGAGTAGTAGTTATAAAATTAAAAAAAGAAAATAATAATAATCTTCCTTCCTTATTGAGGAAAAAAAATTTTATTCTATGGAATTTTTATTATTTAATTAATTGAATTATTTTTAATTTTCAATTAAAATGTATGCAATTTGAAATTAAAATTTATTCTATGTTTTTTTTTCTGTTCAATTGGAAATATATAATAATAATAATTATAATTAATTTATTTGTATACAAAAAGTAATTAATTTTTGAAAAATGAAATAACAATTTTTAATTAAAGATAGATACATTTTCAACTAATTTTTAGTAAATTTCAACTAATTTTCGAAAAATTTAATCACTTTTTTTGTAAATGATAATTTTGATCTTTTGAATTTATATTTTCTGTAGTTCATAATTTTTAAACAATTTTCGAAAATATTTTTTATCATTTTTTAAATGATAATTTTGATTTAAATTTATATTTTCTATAATTTATTATAATTTAAAATTAAATTTTGAAAAGATTATAGTTTATTTCAAATTAATTATTTGAAAATTATTTTAAAAATGGTCGTTTTTTATACAAATTTTTGTTGTTTTTTTTCTATGAAAATAATTGTGTTATTTTGGGATTTTATCGACGAAATTCAATTATACAAACATTATATTGTTTAAAGAATTTAAATGTTAATTCTTTTGAGGACCAATATTACTTTCAGGCAATATTAACATTTTTCTGTATAACTTTTTTGATTTTTAAAACTGCACGGAAAAAAAAATTTTTAACTGGAACAACGATAACTTTCTCTGGAACAGCGATATTTTTTTTTAGAACAGCGAAAATTTTTGCAGTTTTAGTGAAATATATCGCTTTTCCGGATGAAGATTTATTTGCGTGTGATTATTTGAAACAAAGTTTTTCATTTAATCTATAAAAAATTTGTCAATTTCAAAATCTGATTTTTAGCCAAGAAAACTTTTCCCCGAAAAACTTGTTTAAGAATAAAAAATTATTAAAAAAAATATTATTAAAGAAAAGATTTTTTTTTTTTAGAAAAAATTTTGATCCACAATAAAAATTAAAATTCTTATTTTTTAATTAAAATTTTAGTATTTCTCCTAATATATTTTATATATAGAGAATTATATCGAGAAGAGTGTAAACATGTTATTTAATTAATTTTATTTGGATCAGATGGGGATTTAGGGTTTTATAGAAGATAAACGGAATTGTAACTGACAAAGTGGATTTGAAATTAAATCAATATTATAGTGTCATTGGAAGTTGTTTTTAGAAAAAAAAAAGGTGAAACGACAATTTACTATACAATTTACTAGGAGTAAATTAATTAAAATGAAATTAAAGTTGTTCATCATTTCTGTTGTGTATTATTATGAAGCACAATTTATTTTTTCAAAGGCAGCGACTTATCATTTCCCAGGGGCATTTACTTCTGTATCAGACCTCTGTTTTAATATATATATATACAAGGGATGTCAGAAAAATTATTTCACTATCGACACGTGTCTTTGACATAATAATGTACCTCATATTTCTGATAAATTCTCAAATTACTATTTACGCTAACGAAAATGAAAATTCATGATTTTTTTATTTTGTTTTGATAAACATTTGATTATTATGGACAAAAATGAAAAGTGAGGGGGAATTTATTGGTCGAAAAACTGTACAATGGAATCCCTATTACGCTTCCTAGGAGGAAAACTCGGACTATTGCCGGATTGAACAACCGGCTCGGATCCGCGTCGGTTGGTTCGGAGAATTAATGCCGGTACGAGCAGTTGGTACCGATTCGGATGTTAAATGACTGCTGGCGCGGCATCAAGTCGGTACCGAGTTTTGGATCCGTCTTTCTACGGCACTCGGTACAGGCGCGATACTGGATTTATACCGATTTTCGGATCCGACTTACTCCCAATGTTGGAAAACTATACTGTTTGATAGGTCAATACTGGTTCTGTACTGACGCGGTTCCGACTTTCGGATGTTTAATAAAATGCAATTTCTAATTTATTAATAATAATTGTCCAGAAATTTCTTAGATAAATCGAATATTTATGAAATATTTATATAAAAAACAAAATTAATGCATTACGTAAATATTTTGTTTTTAATTTTTAGAGAGTATATTATAAAAAAAATTATCAATAAAAACAAAATTAATTTGTGAAATTTAATTAATTTGTTTAGGGTTTTGTCAATATTTTATGTTCAAAGACAATAATTTCACGAAACTTTTAATTGACTTTAGATTTTTGTCACGCCATGTGGCCACAGCATCAATTTAATATTTTATATGAAAACTGGATTTTGTGATGACTGTCAATAAAATACATATATATTCACCATGAACACTTTAATATATAAACTTTTATTAAATTGCTTCTACATATTTGTGAACTTATCATTAAAAAACTGTAATAATTCCAATTTTTAGAGAGACTAATTTTATGTGTTAACTGAATCATAGCCATTTTTTTCTGAAGAAAAAAAAGGACGCGCTTCGTACGCCCTCTATAGTTTTAACTTAGTCATTTCCGTACCGCGTAATTTTAAATATATATATAAATATCAAACAAATTAAATAATTAATTTGAAAAATGTTACATTTATTATACTTAAGTTCATGAGCTTAAAGACTTTAAAATTTAATTAAATTCAACTTTAATTAAAAATTTTTCGAAAAAATTAACCCGTCCCCCTTAACTTCTACATTTTTGTATATGAAGAACTGCAATTTAGTACACATACGTATTTTTACGTGTAGATTACAGGAAAAATATAGAGAGACCGATTAAATTTGATGGCTACGAGATAGAAAGGAAAGAGATCGGTTTTTTTTCGAAAAAATTGCACAAAATGACACTGTTTGTATAACACAGAAAACTACTGAATTATGTCGAATAAATGTAAACATTCGACAGCGCCATCTGAAATGAAATCATAGCATCAATTCCCGCATTTTTTTTTGAATAAGTCATTCAATTTTTAACTATATGTTGACATTTTTTGTTGTGATTTAAAAAAAAATTATAATTATTCGTTATTACGCAAAATTACTCGTTATTACACGTTACTACGAGTCATTACTTGTTATCACAAGATAATACATAATATTACGCTTATTACACGGTTACTACGGTGTATAGTGGACTACCTGAATAAATTCCCCCTCAATTTTAAAATAAATATTTAATTGAAAATAATCATGTAACCGATTATTTGAATAAAATTTTTTATTCTCTATATACACACAGAGAAAAATTATATTTAAATCAAATATATTTTATTTGAGTTAAATAAACGTATATATATATATATATATATATATATTTGTCTCAGCACCAACTAAACTTTCTATTTGTTTTAAATAAAAATTTTATTCGATATAAATAAAACATATATATTTGAGACAAATAAAATTTTATTTAAACCAAATAAAATTTATTTCCAAACAAAATAAAAAAGTCTAGTTGGTGCTAAGACAAATATATATCTTTTCTCTGGGTGTAAATAAAAATAATAAGAGCGTTTTTGTGAAAAAACCGCTTTTTCTTTTGAGAAAATAACAAAAGGGCAGAGGGAAAAAAATCATTTATCATATATGTATATAATACAATTGCCAGCGATTTTCAATATCAGCTTGCATCTAATCTGATGGTCCATAATCTTCTTTTCTATACTCAGCTTCTTCACGCACTCAATATAGCCCTGACCTTATTAAGCATCACCACTAACCTACTCCTTCATTTGATATGTATATATATATGTATATGAAATGTGAATAAAAATGTGTAATCTTCTTTTATACATACGTGTGTATTATGTATATATGTATACACATTCAATGGTCTCGCGCGAATTACTTAAAACTACCTTAAAGCTCACAAGTACTATCTTCCTGTTGCACGCATTCACAAACGTATACAAACACACAGCCACACACAAATAATTTTCTCTATTCTTCTTCTCTCTTATGTATGAAGATTTATAGGTGAATGAAAAGCGTGATTCTGTGGTTGTCACGCTTGCGCGTCTCATACATTTCAAATACACATATATTATATATTGAGAGATGAACAGCTTTAGTAACGACACATATTTTGCCACCAGTCTCTTTCTACTTCTCTTTGTGCTGCCCTTTCAATTTAATTAAGCACAGTGTTTCAAAAATAGTTTCTATATATGATTTAGTAGAAAAAAGAAAACAATCTATTTTCTCGAGAAAAAAAAAAATTTATTCTCCCTTAGAAAAAAAAGAACAAAAATGGTTTTTAATTAAGTGAGAAAGCAAAAAAAAAACAGTGAAAATATGGATAAGTAATTTTAAAAAAGGCGCCGTTCAAAGTTTTTTGTGGAAAAAAATATACCAAAAAAAAAAAAGTAAAATAAACACAAATTTATTTTTCATAAATCTTATCTCTTGATTAATTAGTAAACTAGACAAGAATGTTAAAAAAAAAATTAATTTTTTTTCTATTTTTTATTTCTATTATAAATTAGAAATTGTTTTTAAACAGAATAAATTTTTTCTATTATTTTATTTCTATTATAAATTAAAAATTGTTTTTAAACAGAATTAATTTTTTCTATTACTTTATTACTATTATTAATTAAAAAATTGTTTTTAATTTTTTTTTAAATTAAAAAAAAAATTTTTTTCATTATTTTATTTCTATTATAAATTAAAAATTATTTAAAAAAAAAATTGAGAAATCTAATTACGAATGATAAATTTATAATACACTACTACTAGTTTGTTATTCAAATGCATTGGAAAATTGTTTGTTAATTTTTTTGTTTTGTTACATTATACGCGTCAACGTTAATATAATTAAGTAATAATTTTTTTTTTGTTATTACATTACATAATTTACATTACACTGTGTTTCTTTCCTACTGTGAATTTTATTTAAATTTCAACAAAATTGTTTATTGTTTTTAATAAAAAAAATTCCTCTTTTTTTATTACAGTATTAAAAAGAAAAAAAAATACATATATGATTAATATTAATTGACATTTGAATAATAAGTAATAAAATTGTTTCAATTTCGGTTTTTGAAATTTTGAAAATTATTACACGCGACTGGAAATTATTATTGCAAATATATAGGAGCAGAGAGCGCCAAAAACTGTTGTATTTTTAGTTCAGACTAAAATTGCGTCTTTAAACATCTCGACTGTATATGCAATTTTGCATTTTCAAATTTAAACACAATTGTCAGTCACTTTAACTTCCTTTATCAACAACTAGAATATTTACACGAATTCAAATTATATTTCAATTGAAATTTAAATATATTTGAAATTTTCATTATTGCTATATTCGAAAAATGTTTTCAAATTCCAAATTTTGTGATAATAAACGAATTATTTTTTATAATTTTTTTTTTCAATATATATATGTTAAAAATTTTATAAAATATAAAGTTTACATTTTGAAACAAATATAAATTAAATACAATAACAATTTTGAAAATTCTTTTCTAGTCAAAATTAGTAAAAATAATTTGTTATTTAAAAAGCTCATTTTTCTATTGTCATGATTGAATAATAATTTCTAATAATTATACTTGGAGATTATAGATTTATAACAAAAAAAAATGTCGTCTAAAATTAATCAGAGTTTATCTAATTCATATAAAAAGTGGAAAAATAATTTTTTTTTGAAATTATTTTAATTATTTAATAATAAAAATTATTTCTAGTGTGCTTTTTATTTCATGTGTAAAATAAATTGCGTTTCAAAATGAATTTCTCTCAATTTTGTTGATATTATATTTCTGACAAACATATATCTGCTGTTTCTTTGAGATCTAGTTACTAAATGTTTAAATGTCACACAGTTTTAATAAACACACCGCAAATATTAAAAGAACTTGATAATAAAAAAAAAATTAAAAAAAATTAAAAGCATTAATAATAATAATAATAATCATTTGAAAATTAGAATAATAATAATAAATAATAATACCTAAATAAATAGATAATAATAAAGTATTAATTATAATAATTGGAAAATTAATAATAATTATTATAATTATTATGTATTATTATTATCATTATTATTATTATTATTATTATTATTATTATGTATTCACAGATATTACGGAAGCTTGCTGCAAGCTTGCCTAAAATAGCAAAATGTTCCACCCATAGCAAGCTTTCCATGAAATGTTGTTGTAAGCTTGCCATGAAAGATTGCTGCAAATTTTCCTCGAAATCTTGTAGCAATCTTTCATGGCAAGCTTACAACAACCTTTCACTGAAAGCTTGCTATCGGTGGGACATTTTGTTATTTTAGGCAAGCTTGCACGGTAAGTTTGCGGCAAGCTTCCGTGCTATCTGGGTTATTATTATTATTATTATTATTTTATGTATAATTATTATTATTATGTTTAATTATTATTATTATGTTTAATTATTATTATTAATTTTTATTAATTAAAAATTCGTAAAAAAATAATTAATCGGAGCATGTCAATTTTTTTTCCAGATGACTAGGTATAAACAGGCGGAATTCGAGGATGATGATAACAGCAGCATTGGATCTATCGCATTGAACAGTGAAAGAATAAGCACATCTGCTACACATATTAGATATCATTCCGTAAGCATAATAGAAAAAAAAGAATTTGATAAATTAAATACAAAAAAAATACTATTTGAACACTTATAGAAACTTTCAATAAAATTTTCAATTAATCAACAATTATTATATTTTTTTCACCTATAGAAAAATTCAATATAATATTCAATTACAGACTTTTAATATTATATCAGAACTGTCCGCAGTTTCTGCGCATTTCTGTCAATTTTTACTCCAGAAATAGTAAACTTTACTCCAAAAATAGTAAAATTTACTCCTGAAATAGTGAAAATTATTCCGAAAATAGTAAATTTTACTATTTCTGGAGTAAAAAATTGACAGAAATGCGCAGAAACTGCGAACTGTTCCGGTTTTACTTTCAAAAGTATAGTAAAAATTACTTTATTCGTTTTTTGAAAATATTAATTTATATTTATTTATAAGTAAATTAAAAATAATATAATTATATTAATAATTTTTCATATAATTATTGTGCATTATGTAATTTATAGTCGGGTATAATACAAGGGGCAACTTTATGGCGAGCAAGAACAATATTAGAGAGATTTCTCTTAATCAGTGTTTGTGGATTATTGTTAATGGTAATAATCCTATCGATTGTAATTAGTAGCAAAAGTTCTTGGGATGAATCGAGAATTCTTCATATTTCTGCAGGTAAATTGCAGATTAATTATTTTTTTAAAAATAATACACGGAAAAATTTTTTGCATCAGATGCGCATAATCTACGGTAGAATTACTGTTGTACTACACTGTAAAAAAAAGGAGTTGAATTTCAACTCCCTAGGGGATGCTATAAAAGTCCCACCCTTTTGGAGTTGAAGCGAAGGGAATTAATGCTTTTCGAGTTAATTTTATGCCTATAGGGAGTTGGTTTTAAGGAGTTAATTTAATTATTAACTCCTTTTTTGAGTTGATTTTTAACTCCCAACTCCCAGTAACGTTAACTCCCTAATTTTTTTACAGTGTATGAGTTGAGGACAAATGTTATCTTGATTTGGCGCGTCAGAAGCGCTGTAAGGGACATTAGACGCACTATAGGGGACATAGGTTGCACCAAACCGGGATAATTGATGTCCGTTTTTAAAGTACAAAATTTTTTTAACTAACCAGTACACAACCGGTGAACCAAAATTTTTTCCGTGTAATTATAAATAAATTATTAGAATTAAAATACTCTTCAAATATGAATTAGTTAAAAATAATTTATTTTTAATTTAGTGAGATTTCGTTCACTAATTGAAATTAGTAGAAATTTTCACTAATTTTTTTAGTAAAATATTACTATTTGATTTACACTCAAGAGAAAAATTTGTTTAAAACAACCAAATTTTATGTTTTGAATCAAAATGCATTGCTATATACAGTTAAACAAACGTTTGGTTGATTCAACTAAATTATTCAATTGAATACTTTTATTTGAATGAACCAAATAATTTATTAGATTTGACTAAATTTTAATCGAAACAGAAAGTTTGTTTCTTACAAGTAAAAACTTTGTTTTATTCAAATAAATCATTATTATTATTCCATATTAATTAAATATTTAATTTTAAAAAATATATATTTGTTTTTTAATTTTTAAATCTGAGTAAAAGAAACTTTTTAGTTTTTCGTGTTATTTTTTTTTTTTGCACAAAGAGACAAAGTTTTAGAACAAATTAAAAAGTTATTGTGGGTTCTGTTTTTGCAGATGGTTCGCATTGTATTACTCCACATTGTGTCACAGTGGCAGCCTCCATAATTAATAGTATAGATAATTCCGTTCATCCTTGTGATGATTTTTATGAATACGCATGTGGCGGATGGATTAAAAAAAATCCTATACCGGATGGAAAAAGTATGTGGGGAACTTTTGGAAAATTAGAACAAGATAATCAGTTAGTCGTCAAAAATGTTCTTGGTAAGAATATAATTCATATATAAAATATTCCATTTCGCCCCCCCCCCTTTAATTTATTCGATAAACCGAATTTAAATTTTTTTTCTCTAAATAGTATTGAATTTTAGAGTTAATTTTATGGAAATTATTAAGGTTATGTTTGTTACTTAACTTATAGTCTTCTAAAATTATGTTTGTCCCATGATTTTTCATCTAATTTTGAAATTATGTTCGGTCAAATCAGGGGAGAAGTAAGGCTAGGTCCAAAAATTGAGGTTATGTTTGCCCCTTGATGTCGAGCCTAAATTTTAAGGTTAAGTCTTTTAACCTATGACCTTGTATTTTGAGGTTATTTTCGTCTCTTGACACCGTTCTCTGTTCCAATTTTGAGGTTATATTTACCGGCGTATGACATATCGATAATCATTATTTAACACTTTGAAAAGTTAACATCTTCTGATAAAGGGACAATATTTGCTTCTTTTGCACGGAAAAGAATGGAAAAACGATTAAAGTAACTTTTACTACTTTAAAAGTAAAACCTGAACTGTCCGCAGTTTCTGCGCATTTCTGTCAATTTTTACTCCAGAAATAGTAAAATTTACTACTTTCGGAATAATTTTTACTATTTCAGAAGTAAATTTTACTATATCTGAATTAAAAATTGTCAGAAATGCGCAGAAACTGCGAACAGATCAGCTTTTACTTTTAAAGTAGTAAAAGTTACTTTATTCGATTTTCCCCACTTGGAAAGATTCCCCGGAAAGTGTCCCCTGGAGGTTCTATCAGAATTCCGCCGGAACTTCCAACGTAATTCCGTCGGAATTCCAAAGAATTTCCGATGGGATTCCGACGGAATTCCGACGGAATTAGGACTCTAAAAATGTTGAAAAAAATTAATCGGAATTCCGTCAGAATCCCATCGGAAATTCTTTGGAACTCCGATGGAATTCCGAAGGAATTACGTTAGAAGTTCCGGCGGAATTCTGATAGAACCTCCAGAGGGCACTTTTCGGGGAATCTTTCCAAGTGAGTCCATTTTTCTCAGTGTAGGAAAATAATTCAGTACATGTTATTTTTTTTTGTACAATAAAGCTTAATTCTTGACATGATTTAGAAAAAATGTATAGGAATAATCTAAAATTTAAACCAAATCACTTTCGAAGAAAATAAAAATTTTTTTTATTTAATTATATCGTAGATTTTAATTACTCATAATTTTCTTTCATCTTCTGATCAGGTGTGATCAAAGTATAAAATGTTAAATAAAAGAAATAATTGTTTTTCAAAAGTAGTTCATTATAATATTTAATGTAACATTAATATAAAGTTTTTTTTGGGTATTATGACAGAGAAACAGTTAACTGAAATGAAATCGGAAGCTGAGAAGAAGGCTAAGTTATATTATTTATCGTGTATGGATGTAAATGAAACAATAGAAGCTTTGGGGGCAAAACCAATGCTCGATTTATTGGAGGATGTTGGAGGTTGGAATATAACAGGGAAATTCAATATTAGCAATTGGTCTTTACAGAAGAGCATGCATATATTGCAGAATGGTTATAATATGGGAGGGCTTTTTTCATGGGCGGTTAATGAAGATGACAGAAATAGCAGTAGGCATATTATACAAGTAAGTATGCGATAACAACTTTGTTATCTAATTTAAATATGTGAAAAGAATAATTTACATCCTGCCAAAATATCATATCAAACTTTAAACATTCAATTTGTAGAGTTTATGTTGGAATAATACAATAAAAATTTCAGCCTACATAATTTAGATTGTAAATATTTTACTTAATCGTAAATTTACTAAAACAAATATAAATAGAATACAATTTCCATTTGCTAAATATTTATCCTACACCAAAATTTTAATTTAAATCTTTTAATGAAAATATTTATACGAAACATTATGTGCTGTGTGGTCGATTTATAATTTAAATTGAAATGATATAAACCATATTATTTCAAAATTTAATTATAACTTCTGCATTAAATGTATACAAGGGAATCTATTCAACATTATTGAGCATTTGGTTGCAGATCGATCAGGGTGGTTTGACCTTGCCAACAATAGATAATTATTTGAATAAAACAGAACACGAGAAGGTTTTAGTTGCTTATCTCGAGTATATGACTAAGGTAACTAAGCATTTTTGTAATAGTATTTAAAAAAGAAATTTTAAATAAAAAGATTTATTAGCCATTAAAATGTTTAGCAAAATTATTTGATTTTTGAGAATTTGAATATTTTTAAGATTGGAGTACTGTTAGGAGGTGAGAAAAATTCTACAAGAAGACAAATGCAGGATATCATTAATTTTGAGACAAAAATAGCAGAGATAACAACGCCTCAAGAGGATAGAAGGGATGATGAAAAATTGTATAATCTTATGAAAATTGGAGATCTACAAAAAATGGCTCCATTCGTAAGTGCTGAAAATTCTATTAAAATTTAGTGATTTAAAAATTGAAAATTTTGTGTGTATTTTAAGATTAAATCATTAATTGCAGATGTCTTGGGTAGATTATTTTAAAAATGCAACAATTCCTGTGGGTAAAAAAGTCAACAGCAAAACTAACATTGTGAATTATGCTCCTGAGTATTTCACCAAATTGAACAAACTTGTGCAAGAGTACAGCAATACGACTGAAGGAAAAGTGTACGTCAATTACACGTGATGTCGAGGCGTATGTGTGTGTATGCTATCGCAAGAAAAAGTTTAGGGTTAAAAAATTAATTATTCATAATCTCTGTGTGATAATTAAAATTTTTTTTCAGAATTTTAAATAACTATCTCATTTGGCAAACTGTCAGATCATTAACTGCTTGTCTCTCGAAACCATTTCGAGATGCATACAAGGGACTTAGAAAAGCTCTTATTGGATCTGAAGGAAGAGAAGAACAATGGAGGTATTGCGTCAGTGATGCCAATAATGTTATGGGATTTGCCATTGGTGCTATGTTTGTCAGGGATGTATTTCATGGAAAAAGTAAACCGATGGTGGGTATTTAAAATTCATACAACTTAGCTTAGGCTTCAGAATCATTTTATGGATATTTATATCGAATAGAATTACGAGGAAATTATTTGAATTTTTCAGGCTGAGATGATGATCAATGAAATTAGACAAGCTTTCACAAAGAATCTAAAAAATTTAGATTGGATGGATGCAGAAACGAGAAAATCAGCTGATGAAAAAGCAAACGCCATTACTGATATGATTGGATTTCCAAATTTTATACTAAATCCAAAGGAATTAGACGAGCGTTATCGCAGTCTACAAATAAAAGAAAAAGAATATTTTTTAAATAATATACGAATAAATAAGTATAATTTGAGAAAAAGTTTGGAAAATCTTGATCAGCCAGTTAATAAAACAACTTGGATTATGACACCACCAGCTGTTAATGCTTATTATACACCGACAAAAAATCAAATAGTCTTTCCTGCTGGTATTTTACAAAGTCCATTCTACGATATGGAAAATCCAAATAGTCTTAATTTCGGTGGAATGGGTGTTGTAATGGGTCATGAACTTACTCATGCTTTTGATGATCAAGGTGAATATTTTATTTCTACAACAATAATTTTTTTTTTAAATCCCTGTTAGTCACAGATACGTAAATAAGATTGAAATTTATTTTTAGGCAGAGAATACGATTTACATGGAAATTTACATCAATGGTGGAATAATGCAACAATTGAAAAATTCAAAAGTCGAACTCAATGCTTTGTTGAACAATACAGTGAATTTGAAATTGACGGCCGTCACGTGAATGGAAAACAAACTTTAGGTATTTGATTATTTGTAGAATTATTATAAATTAAAATTTAAAATTAACTGAATTGATGAAATTTGAAATATTTATGAATAATTGAAAAATAAATTAACTATGAAAATTGTGTTTTGTTAATTAGGTGAGAATATAGCTGATAATGGAGGATTAAAAGCTGCGTATCATGCATATTTAACGACGCCTAAAAACTATAGAGATCAATTACCACTACCTGGTCTCAATATGACACATCGACAATTATTTTTCCTCAACTTTGCCCAGGTAATATATTTAAATAAATTTGTGATTAACGATTTTCTTTTTAATTTTAATTGAACTGTCTGAATCTGAATTAGCAAAATTTCACTTGCACACAACGATAATTACTTTTTGCAAATGGAATACATACTAAATAACAAATAAAATATTTCATGGAAAAACATTTTATATTAAAAGACAATAAAAATAGTAATACATTTTTACATACTCGATATGAAAAGGAGACTATTCAAGGTTCGCTAACAGTTATTCATAATGTTATTTGAATATTTAAAATTACGATATGGATATTTACTAGTGAAAGAAAATGCCAATTAATGTAGTATCTTAGAAAAATTAATTTTTGTCGCTATTAAATTTGAGACAAGTAATTTTTAATAGGGTACTTACTGAAGAAATGTAACTGAAAATAAGAAAAATTAAAATAATAGGTAAGGAATTTTAACATCCCAGATAGCACGTAAGCTTGCAGCAACCTTGCCGAATAATTGCAGTGTAAGGTTACTGCAATATTGCACAGTAAAATTATCGCAAGATTGCATGGTAAGCTTACCAAAAGATTGCAGTGTAATGCTGTTGCAAGATTGCACAGTAAGATTATCGCAAGATTGCTCAGTAAGCTTGCACGATAAGCTTGTCGCAATGTTGGTGCATGGTTGCCAAATGACCTTACCCAATCAGCAGCGAAGTTTGTATTGAAAATGAGGACTACGCGCACGTGCAATCATAAGCACTTACGGCTGCGCAGTAAATTTTTTTGACCTCCCAGGAACAGGTGCTCAATGTATGTACAAAAATAAATTCCCCCCCCAAAAATTTTTTGTTATATTCCGCAAGCTTGCCATAAGGTTGACGAGAAAACTTGCATGCCAAGCTTGCTGCAACCTTCTGTGCTGATTGGCAACCTTGCACCAATCTTGCGACAAGCTTACCGTGCAAGCTTACGGGTCAATCTTGCGATAATCTTACTGTGCAATCTTGCAGTAACCTTACAATGCAATCTTTCGGCAAGCTTACCATGCAAGCTTGGGTTAGGTGGGACATTTAAAGCTTGCGGCAAACTTGCCATGGAAGGTTGGCAATATTGCGCTGCAAGCTTACGTGCTATCTGGGATAGTAAATATGAAAAGATCTTAAAATCACAGCCGTAGGTATATCGATGTGAAAAATTAAAATTTTCACTTTAGAAGTTTAATATCGACCACTATTGATTCTTTGCGGGCTCTAGCTTCGTAGATAACCGATAATTGCCAAATTCACCCGAATGTAGAATGAGAGTGCCCCTGTGGGAACAACCTAATCAGACCTCCATGCCAATCTCGTGGCGTCGTGTATAATAATAAAGTCTCTTAATGATTGTTATTACGATGAGCACTTGAAAGCTTTTAAGGTTTATGATTTCAATGATTTCTATTGGGAAATCATTAGTAAGACTGATTTTAATAATGCCGCGTTTTCATAGGTACTTCAATAAAATAAGAGATGGAAATTTTTATATAAAAAAAAACTTGGATCTATATAATGGCATTTCTTTTCTTTCTTGTAATGTATTTAATTTCTTGTTTATTTATTTTAATTTTCATTATTATTTAATTTAATATTTTCACTATAACTTCATACTAAAATTGATGATTGCGAAAATACAACTAATTAATTATAGTCCATTGCATATTATTTTAAAATATAATTGTTTTAGTGAGACAATTATATAATCATCGTTTCTCACAAGCGCAGAAAAATTCTTTCTTCACCTTTCAGTGTAGTTGCGAGCGAGCGTTTATATATGTATTATGCGTATTTAGGTGTATGACCAATTATTAACAGTGCCGATATTAAAATTCACTTTTTTTGATTTCGAAATTTGTAAAACAGATATTTTAACTTTTTCAATATCGTCATATTACTGTTTGATAGGACAAACTGTTAAATATTACTATAACCTTTTTTGATTATGAGTACTGTATATGTGAATTTTAGAAATATTGGGAATTGATTTACAGAATTACGCCATTTATACGAAAGATATTTAAAAATATATTTTTAGCAGTTCTTCCAAGTCACCTTGGAGGTCACTCGGCGAAGACTGACTGGTTCGTTGTGTTCGAGCGATATTTATACTCGAGGCGAGCGAGCGTATTATGGTGGGGGGGTGATATTCAATCTCATTCTGGTCGGGGAAACCCAGAGCCGCGCGGACGATAAGTGGTGGGGATGAAGAGGCCTTTCGTTACCGTCCGTGTCTTCATTATAATCAAAACAATTCTTTTCCTGATTTTTAAATAAACTTTGCGAAGTGTATGCAGTTCCATGCGCAAACAATTATCATTATAATAAAATTATTTTAACCGTATATTACACATAGAAGAATATTTTTTTAAATTTTTCTATGATTAAAAAAGAAATTAAAAATGAAAGATAAATTAAATGTATTACAAACTTACAGGTCTGGTGTTCTGCGGTGACATCAGAAGCAGTAGGCCTTCAAATTGAAAAGGATTCACATTGTCCTGCCAAATTTCGCGTAATAGGTCCACTATCAAATCTTCCAGAATTTTCTGCCGAATTCAACTGTCGAAAGGGCACAAAAATGAATCCCGTTCACAAGTGTGAAGTATGGTAATAATTCAATTTTTCTTTCCTAAAAAAAAAACAAACAAAATGAAAAGACTTTTCTTCTTTAATAAAAGAAATAATTGAGCCAAAATGGGTTCATAAAAATACTGGTTCTGAACCAATTTATCGGCCTGAAGAATGTATAGTTTTTTGAAAATGTAGTACCGGTCATCCATGATACAAAGAGAATAAACGTATGAGTGTTCTGTGTTATTATTTGAAAAAAAACCGAGAAATTAGAAATTCTTGTATGGATCTTAAATAAAAATCTTATGATTGCACTCATTGGTCATTGGGCACTTTTAAGATCTTTACAATTTGATCTATCATTTATGTATATTCAGTGTTATTATTAATTTGTTAATTTTTTTTTGGTTCGGAGAAAAACCTTTTTAAACTTTTGAAATATATTAAAATTTTTTCATTATAAACATTTTTACCAGATTCTTCATGTTTTTCACTTTTATACAAAACAAAAATTTTAAATATTATACATATAATAAAGAATTTTGCATTAAGGATGATGATTTCAGTTTTCGCAAAGAAATACGTTTTTCTCTTGAATTATAAAAATAGACTGAAGATTAAGACTGACCAAAATATGAAGAATGGATCAGGGGAAAGATTTTTTGTTATGCATTATCTACAATCAACACAACATTTTTTGTAAAGTTTTAAAACTAATTTTTTCTTTATTTATATATATATTTGTAATTTTATACAATTGTCATTCTAATGTCAAGTTCATTTCAAACAAGCAGCCTAAAACAGCAAAAAAAAATTAACTTCAGTTTCATCAATATTACACTGTCAACAAGAAATAATTTTTTAAATAAGTATTTATAAAAATTTAATTAAATTTAAAAAATGTTTCCCTCCGAATCAAAAAAAAAAAAAAACAAACTTATAGTATGTGTACTCAAAAAATAGTTTAATTTCACTAAAGAAATTTTATTCTTAACATAAGGTACGTAAATGAAAAAGTTGTGTCATTTTTTTTTAGATTTTTAAGAAATATTCCTTCATTCAAAGAAATTATTATTTCCTCAAAGAAATATTTATTAAATTCCAAATAGATTTTCAAATTTTATTTCAATACATGCGGAAAATAATATTTTTAAGATTGAAGAATATTTCTGAGAATGTAAGAGAAAATTATTAATTTAATATTTTAAAAATTAAATATTTTCACAAAAAAGAAAAAAATACAAAAAGTAGAATTTTTTTAATTAATTTTATTTGTCTGACGGGTGCCTCAGAAATATAATTTTGTGAGTAGGAAAAAAAAATTTTCAACTAAAATTATTAAACAAGTATCCTTTAAATTAATGTTAGCTGAAATAGAATCAAACTTCACGAAATGACAAAAAAATGTAAAAAATGATTAACTTCCAAAAGTAAGAATAATATTTAAAAGTTCATGAAAGAATTTTTATTCTTTTTATAAGCCCCCCCCTTTTACCATGTGGGTTAAATTTAATTTTCCCATCGGTTTAAGGCAGTAGATATTTTCTGCGACTGCGCAGAATGTTTGTAGCTTCTGCGCAGACGTAGAACTGCCTTTAACATCTCGGAGGATTAAATTTATCCACACGGTGAAAACGGGTTCTATGTATTAATTAAAAATATCTGAATTTTGTGTATATATTTACGAAAATGATTGTAAAATATAACAATATTCAAGAAAAAATTTCACAACTCGAACTACAATGAAAATAATAGTAAAATATAATGAAAAATGCAAATTAAAAAAAAAATGAGAGAAAATTAATAAAATGACTTTCCATATTATTTTTATATTTTGTTGCAGAAAAAGAAACAATTTTATTTTTCTTGTTATGTATATAAGTTTACTGTGATAGAAAAAAAAATGTATGTACAATGGATCCGTGACTCGGTGCTATACAATGAGAAGTTTTTGTTTAAAAGTACTATTTATATTTTTGTAAAATATAAAATTTTTTTTCCATCATTAAAACATTTTTTTCTTATTAGTTTATAAGTTCTTTTTTTTGGATAACTTCAAATTTTAGAATACAAAAATTTTCATATAATACACAAAAAAGGCACCTGATGGTTTCTATCTATCTATATATATATTTTTTAATGAATTTTCGCCTATTTGCATTTTTATTAAATTTATAATTAAATTATTAAATTAAATTATTGAATTTAAATTAAGAAATTAATAAATTAAAAAATATATAAACTTACAGAAGGTAAAAATAAAAATTAATAAATAGTTGCACAATTTTCTGTATCATGATTCTTAAACTGATCAAAAAATTATTAAAAAAAAAAAATTCAGGTGTCTTAAAAGGTTTGTAAAATTATATAAATGATTACAAATTCAAAAATTTGGATTGTCGCCTATTAACATTAATAAATTATTAATCGTATTTATAAGAATATAATATATGTAAAACTCATTTAAGAATTCAGAAATTTTTACTATTATTTCGGTAAAATGAATTCAATTTAATTTTTAACTTTTTATTTATAATTATAAATTTTTATTTTTTCTAACGAAATTAAAAATTTATTTATTACATTAAATAAACAATTAAGATTTAGTGAATTAATTTGGTTTTTAAATAAATTTATTCTATATTTATAAATAAATATATATTATTATGATTCAGGAACGAATTAATGATAAAACAAAATACCGTAAATAAGAAGACAATAGTTTTTTGTAAAAGGGTACAAAGCATCACACGAATAATTACGAGCTTTTGAAAGTAGAGCTTAATAGAAAATGTCTGTAATAATTAAAGAAAACCACTTTTTTTTTGTATATACATATATATGTATATATGAAACTGTAAAAAAAAGGTTTTAATTTATTTTTCAGTATGTGGGATTGATAAATGTATTTGATTAAAAATATTGACCATTTTTAATTTAATTAAACGAATCAAAGTACATATAAATAAGAAAAAAATTTTAACAAAAATTTAAAATAATTCAAATCCCCATAGAACATATCATTATATAAAAATGAGAACAATTCATCGATACTTAAAAGAATGTGTAACACATTGTGAACGATGTAAAAATAAAATATATTTCAAAAAATGTATCTAATTTTTAAGTTGTAGAAAAATAATTTTATTTTTTCTTCATTAAAAAACAAATTGATTTTAATATTTGAATGTTGATTACAAAATTGAAAAAAAAAAATTAACATAAAATTACATTTTTATTGTAACGTAAATGAAAAAATTTTTTTTTATAAATTTGAAATTTTTGAAAAAAAATTTTTTTTTTCACTAATAACGTCGTAATGTGTTACAAAATAATAATTAAGAGAAAAAAGAAAAGTTAATATTTTAACAGTGGATTTTATGTATAGCAAACTCGACATTTTATATAGTGAAGTAGAGATTGTAAAAAAAATGAAGATTAACAGTAGAAAAAAAAATTTTTCATAAATTTTGATCTAGTCTATTTTAATTTGCAAACATTATTTTTTAAAATTCTTTTTTCATTGTACACATTTATATTTTTTAATCAGTTTTGCTTGTAAAATGTAAAAAAAAAATATCCGATCAATGCCGTCTTCCGTAAATTTATGGAAACCTGTAAAAAACTGCCTTATTCTTGTTAAAATAGAAATTTTTTGTTTTTTAAAACCAAACTATATAGTGACCATTTGAATGTTTAATGAAGGAAAAAAATAAAAATGTACAGTGTTAATTAAAAAAAAAAAAAAAATTCAAAAGGCGCATGCTTCTATTATTATTAATTAATATTAATGTAACGTAATTATAACATTAATTACATTATATTATTAATAATATAAATATAAGGATTTTTATCCTAAATAAAAAGTTGACTTCAAACTGTAATCTTCACTTGACTTCAAATTTCAAAATATTTTGAATCATCATTAATATTGTAATGTTAATTTAATTTTATGTACAATATAAATAGTATTTTTTTTACTGTAAAAATATTATGTGTCAACAAAGTTGGTATCAGTGAAACAAAAATTTTGTCCATCAATTTTGTTAATTTCTATGAGCCGGTTTTCACCGTGTGGGTTAAATTTAATCTTCGGAGAGGTTAATAACAGTAGATGTATTCTGCGTCTGCGCAGAATGTTTGCTTCTGCGCCGACTCAGAACTGCCTCTAACCTTTCCGAATATTAAATTTAATCCACACGGTGAAAACCGGCTCTATATAACAAAAAAAAAAATACTTTTTATTTAAAAATATTTTTATTAATTCTTAAAGTCTATTATAATTTTTTTAGTAATGAAAACTTTTGCCAAACAAAATGTTCTTGCAAGCAAAATAACATTTTCATCAAATGAAAAAAAATTTTCTCCAATGTAATTTTTTGCTTAAAGCAAAAAATTTTCATACAACAAAATAAATAGATGAAATTTTCTCTTATAAAATCATTATATAATATTGTTCCATTGAGACTGATACGAATTTTGAACAGTGTGTAATTTTGATGGAACATTTTTTAGAGAAAAAAAAAATTAACATATATTACAAAACATATATGGATAATTTTTGATAAGAAGTAAAAAAAAAATGTGAGTAAGAAAACAAAAAAAAAAAAAAACTTGTATGCTATATATTGAAAGAGAATTAGAGTAGAGTTAATTTAAGATTCCTAGGCCTTAATTATGTGTTAAGGAGTAAGAAAGTGTGTTTTTATGATACTTTTAATTGTATAATATAATTGTCTAAAACTACAAAACTTACTTGACGTTTAAGAAACACAAAAAAATTATATTATACATAGTTGTTCAGGATTCGTGTTTGAAAAAAAATGTGTCGTTTTAAGCGATGACAAAACGAATGCGTGTGATTATTTTTCTGTGTATTATTCTTGTAAATTATGTGTTACGCTTATTAAAGTTAATATTAACACAAATATAATTTTATTTTTTACCACTTTTGGGAAAAAACATACGAACAAAATTAATTTTTCGAGAAATAAGCGTTTAATTCAAAATGGCGGAAGTTTTTTTTTAAATTGACTAGATTCGTTTGAAATTTGTTACTAAGGAGTTCTGGGGGTCATTGATTACGAATTTGACATTAGATTTTCAAAATTCAAAAGGATGGATCCAACATCTGGTCAATTTTAAGAAATTTTTTCGCCATTTTCGATTTTAAAAATCGGACTTCAGATTCGTATTCAGCGACCCCAAAAACCCTAGAGTAGCGAGATCCAAGCAAAATTAATCAATTTTAAAAAAAAAATTTAGGTTCGTCCGCCATATTGAATTCGCTATTTTGATTTTTGAAAATCAGACTTCGGATTTGTGATCAGCGTTTCTTTTTCCATTAGAATTAACAAAAAAATTCTTATCTCGTGTACACAATTGCAATTTTTAGGGTTCCGTTCACGCAGTAAAACGAAACGGAACCCTTATGGTTTCACTCATGTCCGTCCACAAAATCTTGTCCACCCCCTCTAAAATCTAGACATTTTAACCGATTGGACTCAAACTTGATATACATTCGTATTTTTGGGACGCATGATTATGTTCTAAAAATCATTAGTCATAATTTACATTTTATCAAATTTTATTTGTCCTAATTAGTTTTAAGCCGAAATTTTATTTGTTCGAAATAGCATTTTGCATAATTTACATCAAAGCGATTTTCTATATTACAGAATTTTTATATAACTGAAAATTCATTTCACAAAATTTTTATTTCTTCGAATTTTTATTTGTCAGAATTTTTATTTAACATAATAGGCATTTTAAAAAATTTTTATTGGGAAGAAATTCATTGAATAGAATTTTCATTCAGATGAATTTTCATTTGTTCCAATTATTATCTGATATAATTTCCACATAATCGATTTTTCATACTGCAGAATTTTTCCTTAAGAGCATTTGAACCTTCGTGACGTCAAAAATCATGGCGCATGACACGCAAACTTCTCAGGTATGTGAAAAGCACAATTTTTAATATTTTTTAAAAAAACCTTTTGGAAAATGTTCAGAATAACATAGACTCTGTCTGTTATATGCGGAAAATTCAAAATTTTGCGTTTAAAACGTTTTTTAAACAATGTTTAAGTTGGTTGTCACAAGTAAGGAAAAATACACGAATTGCTTATATGTAGGCCATTTTTGGAACTTAAACATTGTTTAAAAAACGTTTTAAACGCAAAATTTTGAATTTTTCGCACATAACAGACAGAGTCTGTGTTATTCTGAATACCCAGTCGAAAATCCTACGCTATGTTAAGCTGAACAAAAAGTTGTTTTGAAGTATTGAGATAACCATTAGAGAATTGTGAGACAGTAGATAACTAGCTTTAGAAAACTTTCAGGAAGCCTGTTATGGCCGATTTTTCGCTTCCACGGAAAGCTTGAAAATAACAAATTTTGTACGTTTTAAACAAAGCATTCAAGTAGCTTTGAGAGAGTTATCAAAGAGTTGCAGGATTTTGCATATATAAAAAGAAAGCGTTCAGGTGGCGAAAATGAAATGAAGCGTCATGGATGTTTCAGGAAACAGCGGAAAAATGACAATGATCAAAAATTAAATTTAACCTTTCTTTCCATCTTTATTTGTCTCGTAAAAATATTATGTATTAGATTATTATATTTAAATATTGAAGAATTAAAGAAAAATTATTTACGTCAGACTCGGTATTTCCACAGTAAATATTTTAAATAAATAAATATTTTAATAAATAATTAAAATATTTTGTAAATTTTTAACTTTTAGTACATTGTTGTCAACCAAAATTTGTAACTAAAAATACGCTGTTAAATTCATTTTCATAAATTATGAAATTCTAAAAGAATAAAGAATATATTATTTATAAAAAATATTCATAAATATCAAGTATAAAAATAATAATCTTTTTTTTTAAATGTTAAATATTTTGTCTTTTTTTTAAGAAATTGTATTCATTATTCAATATAAAAGGTTTTCACCATGTTCGTATTCCTAACCCCAAATTTTGCTCAAGTTATATATAATTTTTTTCGTATATAATTTAAGTGTTTAAAAATAAACGTTTTCTTTGAAAAATAATTTTTATATAATATATAAAGAATAATTATTAATTGTATAAAACGGATTTACAAATTACTATAGAATTTTTATGATTTTTCGATTTAGTTTAATTTAATGAAATTATTCTAGTTTTCAGGAAGTGTAAAAAAGGTAATTAAATTACATATTAATTTGCAACTTGTGAAAAGCAAATAGAATTGCTTTCTTACACATTAAACCAGGCATTAGGAAAGCATTCACCAAGCAAACTGGTAGACCTTTTGCTAGAAGCTGTCCACAGATATTCAACAAGCTGTAGGAAAAGCTTCCCGTTAAGAAGTCAGAAAGCAAATATCACAGAATTTTAGGTCTAATGTATAAATAGTTGCCATGAAGCTTTTGAAACCTTCATAACAGTTACCTGAAGGCCATGTGAACCCTTCAGGGAAACTTACGATTTTCGACTGGGTATTTTCCAAAAGGTTTTTTTAAAAAACATTCAAAATTGTGCTTTTCACATACCTGAGAAGTTTGCGTGTCATGCGCCATGATTTGTGACGTCACGAAGGTTCAAATGCTCTTAACCTAAGAAAAATTGAATTTTTTTGGTAAGTTTTTTATGCTTTTGGATGCGTTTTTGGTCATAAAAACGGTCTTCCTCTACTCGGATCAGGGTGTCAATTTTTTTCTACACTTTTCGATGTATTTTGTGCAAGAATATGCAATAAAATCGTCTGCCTAAGAAAAATTGAATTTTTTTTGGTGAGTTTTTTATGCTTTTGGATGCGTTTTTGGTCATAAAAAGTGTCTTCCTCTACTCGGATCAGGGTGTCAATTTTTTTCTACACTTTTCGGTGTATTTTGTGCAAGAATATGCAATAAAATCGTCTGCCTAAGAAAAATTGAATTTTTTTGGTTAGTTTTTTATGCTTTTGGATGCGTTTTTGGTCATAAAAACGGTCTTCCTCTACTCGGATCAGGGTGTCAATTTTTTTCAACACTTTTCGGTGTATTTTGTGCAAGAATATGCAATAAAATCGTCTGCCTAAGAGAAATTGATTTTTTTTGGCTTTTCATGGGTTTTTGGTCATAAAAATGATCTTCCTCTACTCGGATCTGGGTGTCAATTTTTTTCTACACTTTTCGGTGTATTTTGTGCAAGAATATGAAATAAAATCTTCTGCCTAAGAAAAATTGAATTTTTTTGGTAATTTTTTTTGGTTTTTCATGCGTTTTTGGTCATAAAAAAGGTCTTCCTCTACTCGGATCTGGGTGTCAATTTTTTTCTACACTTTTCGGTGTATTTTCTGCAAGAATATGCAATAAAATCGTCTGCCTAAGAAAACTTGAATTTTTTTGGTAAGTTTTTTATGCTTTTGGATGCGTTTTTGGTCATAAAAAGGGTCTTCCTCTACTCGGATCTGGGTGTCAATTTTTTTCTACACTTTTCGGTGTATTTTGTGCAAGAATATGCAATAAAATCTTCTGCCTAAGAAAAATTGAATTTTTTTGTTATTTTTTTTGGTTTTTCATGCGTTTTTGGTCATAAAAAGGGTCTTCCTCTACTCGGATCTGGGTGTCAATTTTTTTCTACACTTTTCGGTGTATTTTGTGCAAGAATATGCAATAAAATCTTCTGCCTAAGAAAAATTGAATTTTTTTGGTAATTTTTTTTGGTTTTTCATGCGTTTTTGGTCATAAAAAAGGTCTTCCTCTACTCGGATCTGGGTGTCAATTTTTTTCTACACTTTTCGGTGTATTTTCTGCAAGAATATGCAATAAAATCGTCTGCCTAAGAAAACTTGAATTTTTTTGGTAAGTTTTTTATGCTTTTGGATGCGTTTTTGGTCATAAAAAGGGTCTTCCTCTACTCGGATCTGGGTGTCAATTTTTTTCTACACTTTTCGGTGTATTTTGTGCAAGAATATGCAATAAAATCTTCTGCCTAAGAAAAATTGAATTTTTTTGTTATTTTTTTTGGTTTTTCATGCGTTTTTGGTCATAAAAAAGGTCTTCCTCTACTCGGATCTGGGTGTCAATTTTTTTCTACACTTTTCGGTGTATTTTCTGCAAGAATATGCAATAAAATCTTCTGCCTAAGAAAAATTGAATTTTTTTGGTAATTTTTTTTGGTTTTTCATGCGTTTTTGGTCATAAAAATGATCTTCCTCTACTCGGATCTGGGTGTCAATTTTTTTCTACACTTTTCGGTGTATTTTGTGCAAGAATATGCAATAAAATCTTCTGCCTAAGAAAAATTGATTTTTTTGGTAATTTTTTTTGGTTTTGGATGCGTTTTTGGTCATAAGATGGGTCTTCCTCTACTCGGATCTGGGTGTCAATTTTTTTCTACACTTTTCGGTGTATTTTGTGCAAGAATATGCAATAAAATCGTCTGCCTAAGAAAACTTGAATTTTTTTGGTAAGTTTTTTATGCTTTTGGATGCGTTTTTGGTCATAAAAAGAGTCTTCCTCTACTCGGATCTGGGTGTCAATTTTTTTCTACACTTTTCGGTGTATTTTGTGCAAGAATATGCAATAAAATCTTCTGCCTAAGAAAAATTGAATTTTTTTGTTATTTTTTTTGGTTTTTCATGCGTTTTTGGTCATAAAAAGGGTCTTCCTCTACTCGGATCTGGGTGTCAATTTTTTTCTACACTTTTCGGTGTATTTTGTGCAAGAATATGCAATAAAATCTTCTGCCTAAGAAAAATTGATTTTTTTGGTAATTTTTTTTGGTTTTGGATGCGTTTTTGGTCATAAGATGGGTCTTCCTCTACTCGGATCTGGGTGTCAATTTTTTTCTACACTTTTCGGTGTATTTTGTGCAAGAATATGCAATAAAATCGTCTGCCTAAGAAAAATTGAATTTTTTTGGTTAGTTTTTTATGCTTTTGGATGCGTTTTTGGTCATAAAAACGGTCTTCCTCTACTCGGATCAGGGTGTCAATTTTTTTCAACACTTTTCGGTGTATTTTGTTCAAGAATATGCAATAAAATCGTCTGCCTAAGAGAAATTGATTTTTTTTGGCTTTTCATGGGTTTTTGGTCATAAAAATGATCTTCCTCTACTCGGATCTGGGTGTCAATTTTTTTCTACACTTTTCGGTGTATTTTGTGCAAGAATATGAAATAAAATCTTCTGCCTAAGAAAAATTGAATTTTTTTGGTAATTTTTTTTGGTTTTTCATGCGTTTTTGGTCATAAAAATGATCTTCCTCTACTCGGATCTGGGTGTCAATTTTTTTCTACACTTTTCGGTGTATTTTGTGCAAGAATATGCAATAAAATCGTCTGCCTAAGAAAACTTGAATTTTTTTGGTAAGTTTTTTATGCTTTTGGATGCGTTTTTGGTCATAAAAAGAGTCTTCCTCTACTCGGATCTGGGTGTCAATTTTTTTCTACACTTTTCGGTGTATTTTGTGCAAGAATATGCAATAAAATCTTCTGCCTAAGAAAAATTGAATTTTTTTGTTATTTTTTTTGGTTTTTCATGCGTTTTTGGTCATAAAAAGGGTCTTCCTCTACTCGGATCTGGGTGTCAATTTTTTTCTACACTTTTCGGTGTATTTTGTGCAAGAATATGCAATAAAATCTTCTGCCTAAGAAAAATTGATTTTTTTGGTAATTTTTTTTGGTTTTGGATGCGTTTTTGGTCATAAGATGGGTCTTCCTCTACTCGGATCTGGGTGTCAATTTTTTTCTACACTTTTCGGTGTATTTTGTGCAAGAATATGCAATAAAATCGTCTGCCTAAGAAAAATTGAATTTTTTTGGTTAGTTTTTTATGCTTTTGGATGCGTTTTTGGTCATAAAAACGGTCTTCCTCTACTCGGATCAGGGTGTCAATTTTTTTCAACACTTTTCGGTGTATTTTGTTCAAGAATATGCAATAAAATCGTCTGCCTAAGAGAAATTGATTTTTTTTGGCTTTTCATGGGTTTTTGGTCATAAAAATGATCTTCCTCTACTCGGATCTGGGTGTCAATTTTTTTCTACACTTTTCGGTGTATTTTGTGCAAGAATATGAAATAAAATCTTCTGCCTAAGAAAAATTGAATTTTTTTGGTAATTTTTTTTGGTTTTTCATGCGTTTTTGGTCATAAAAATGATCTTCCTCTACTCGGATCTGGGTGTCAATTTTTTTCTACACTTTTCGGTGTATTTTGTGCAAGAATATGCAATAAAATCGTCTGCCTAAGAAAACTTGAATTTTTTTGGTAAGTTTTTTATGCTTTTGGATGCGTTTTTGGTCATAAAAAGAGTCTTCCTCTACTCGGATCTGGGTGTCAATTTTTTTCTACACTTTTCGGTGTATTTTGTGCAAGAATATGCAATAAAATCTTCTGCCTAAGAAAAATTGAATTTTTTTGTTATTTTTTTTGGTTTTTCATGCGTTTTTGGTCATAAAAAGGGTCTTCCTCTACTCGGATCTGGGTGTCAATTTTTTTCTACACTTTTCGGTGTATTTTGTGCAAGAATATGCAATAAAATCTTCTGCCTAAGAAAAATTGAATTTTTTTGGTAATTTTTTTTGGTTTTGGATGCGTTTTTGGTCATAAGATGGGTCTTCCTCTACTCGGATCTGGGTGTCAATTTTTTTCTACACTTTTCGGTGTATTTTCTGCAAGAATATGCAATAAAATCTTCTGCCTAAGAAAAATTGAATTTTTTTGGTAATTTTTTTTGGTTTTTCATGCGTTTTTGGTCATAAAAATGATCTTCCTCTACTCGGATCTGGGTGTCAATTTTTTTCTACACTTTTCGGTGTATTTTGTGCAAGAATATGCAATAAAATCTTCTGCCTAAGAAAAATTGAATTTTTTTGTTATTTTTTTTGGTTTTTCATGCGTTTTTGGTCATAAAAAGGGTCTTCCTCTACTCGGATCTGGGTGTCAATTTTTTTCTACACTTTTCGGTGTATTTTGTGCAAGAATATGCAATAAAATCTTCTGCCTAAGAAAACTTGAATTTTTTTGGTAAGTTTTTTATGCTTTTGGATGCGTTTTTGGTCATAAAAAGAGTCTTCCTCTACTCGGATCTGGGTGTCAATTTTTTTCTACACTTTTCGGTGTATTTTGTGCAAGAATATGCAATAAAATCTTCTGCCTAAGAAAAATTGAATTTTTTTGTTATTTTTTTTGGTTTTTCATGCGTTTTTGGTCATAAAAAGGGTCTTCCTCTACTCGGATCTGGGTGTCAATTTTTTTCTACACTTTTCGGTGTATTTTGTGCAAGAATATGCAATAAAATCTTCTGCCTAAGAAAAATTGAATTTTTTTGGTAATTTTTTTTGGTTTTGGATGCGTTTTTGGTCATAAGATGGGTCTTCCTCTACTCGGATCTGGGTGTCAATTTTTTTCTACACTTTTCGGTGTATTTTCTGCAAGAATATGCAATAAAATCTTCTGCCTAAGAAAAATTGAATTTTTTTGGTTATTTTTTTTTTGGTTTTTCATGCGTTTTTGGTCATAAAAATGATCTTCCTCTACTCGGATCAGGGTGTCAATTTTTTTCTACACTTTTCGGTGTATTTTGTGCAAGAATATGCAATAAAATCGTCTGCCTAAGAAAAATTGAATTTTTTTGGTGAGTTTTTTATGCTTTTGGATGCGTTTTTGGTCATAAAAAGTGTCTTCCTCTACTCGGATCAGGGTGTCAATTTTGTTCTACACTTTTCGGTGTATTTTGTGCAAGAATATGCAATAAAATCGTCTGCCTAAGAAAAATTGAATTTTTTGCTTTCTCGTGGAGGAAGCTTTGTAGTCCTTTCGTTTATAAAACTTTTCAAAGTGGCGGAAACAAATTTTTTTCTTTATAGAAACATGTTATATGAGATCCTGATCAATTGTCCGGATGTATGTATGTGTGTGTGTTTTTAATTGAAAAAATTTTTAAATAGAAAAATTTAAGGTTATATATAATAAAATCGTATTCGTTACGTCAAGACGAATCGATCGATATATATATATATATATATGAAGTATTCATTTGAGGTAAATTTAAAGAATTAATGAAAGTTAAAAAATCGAAAATTCACATTTTGTCAATAAAATTTTGCTTTCTCCACGAGGAAGCAAATTTTTTTGCCGATCGTAAAGAGGAAGTAATTCATGTAATGAACATCTGAATTTTTAACTTGTTTTTAGATAGAATGTTTTCTTGGAAAATGAAAAAATCCCTTACAAAGTGAAAAAAAATTATACAGCATATCCCAATTATTTTTTTACCTTCAAACAACACATATTACCTTTAAATAAACCTACCAATTGAACATAAATTGCAAGAGAATAAGAACAATCAATTTTATTCCATTTTTTAAGATAGAATGTTTTCCTGGAAAATGAAAAAATCCGTTACATAGTCAAATAAAATTAAACAGCCTGTCTCCATTACAGTTTTGGAGCAAAGAAGCTGAAACTTGGTACACATATTTAATTTTATGTGTAGATTTCACAAAAAATATAGCTAGCCCTTTTGAAATATTATATTTAAATATTTAAATTTAAATAATCTTGAACGGATCCCTAGGTAAGCGATTGTAACTCGTACTTGACCAATTTTTTTTATATTTTTTTTATTAATTTTTATAATTTTTTAAAAATTGAATTTTTTGTTACATAGGGATATTTAAAAAAAACTGTTTTTGTCTTTTCTTTAAGATTTATTAATGTTACAATTCTTATCTATATAAATACGTATGAGAAAAATAATAAAGGGAAAAAATTTCTTATGGATAAATTAAGAATGACCGACTTCCGAGGTGTAATATATTTACTTAATTCTACGCTGAGAAGTGATAAAGTGGACTATTTTTTATGCATCATTGTCAGCAATGAAACACGTTTCAATAATGATTATTACGACCTTAAAGCTCGGGGTAAAAATAAACATTTCATTCTTTCACTGCAATTTTTTATTCGAGATTTTTTTTTTTACTTTGTACTCTAAGTCATTGACTTTTGAACGATTATATAATATTTTTAATTTATTGTGCCTACTTTTACTTGGTTATTAAAAAAATTATTTTTTTTTTATTTATTTTGTTTTTTTTCTTAATTTTCAATTACAAACAGATAACAATAAAAAAAATTTCTTTTTTTATTCCTTTTTTTATTATTTATATTATTTATTTATTAAAAACATATTTTATAATACACTAAAAAAATATATTTGATACAAATAATTTTTATTTGAATCAAATAAATTTTTTTTCAACGTAGGAAATTTTATTTATTTTTTTTTTTATTACAGAAAAACTTTTTTCCTCCTCGACAAGAGGAAAGAAGAAGATAAATAAGTGCAATGTACGAAATCTTGATCGAAAAATCAATATATAAATTTAAAAAATGTTTAATATTTATTATTCAATAGACGTCACTTTATATATTATTTATATGCGCCTGTAAAATGCGCCTCATTATAATTTTATCATTTTTATCTCTTGTGAATTTGATTATTTTTATTTTATTTATTTTTTCAATAAAATTCAGTTCTCGCCTTTTTTTCCCAATCAGATTCAGTATTTTGATTTCTGTGCTAGCAATAGTGCATTCACAAATATTATGCAATACTTATACCAGAGTCAAGGCTTTTATTTATAATAGCAAAATTTTATTTTTGAATATAAGAATATAAGGAAAAAATTGTTCGTTCTTAAAATGAGTTTAAATTTTAAATTTGGCAAAATTATACAAATTCTCATAAATATAAAAACTTTGAAAAAATATTATTGGAAAGTTATAATTAAGAAAAATTAAATTATGAAAAAATTTTCAGTTTCTAAAATGAAATTGAATAAATCTATAGAATAAAAATAGAAAATAAAATGATTTTTGTTGTTTTTATCATGTTTGCACTTTTTTTTCAAGTTATCTCAACAGTCGATAAAGTTGACATTGATAAAAATTTCATATGCAGAATATTTAGTTTCAGTTTCTTGACTATCAACAGTGAATATAGAGGGTAACTGTAAAACATTGAGTTATCATTTATCAACATTAGTAAAATTTCACTATATAAAAAATTATCAAAAAGGAAAATTTACTTGAAATTTTTTTAAATTAATTTCCATTATTATATTTATTAACAATTGCCATTGATTGAAAATAAGTTTTCAGAAAGTACAATTTGAATAAAAATAATTTGTCTTTCTTACAAAAAAGTTATTCTAGTAAAAAAAGAATTTAAATACAGAAAAATTGATAAGTAAAAAAATTTCTACTAATTTTTAGTTATTTACTTATTTTTGATATATGTAAGCATAAATAAGTACATAAATAAGTAAATAAATAAAATTTTAGTTAAAAAAAATTAAAACTACTAAATGAAAATAATATTTTACTCAAAATTAATGAAAATTTATACTAATTTAAATTGACGACTTTTCACTAATTCAAATTTAGAAAGTATTAATATTATGTATTTATTGTCATATAAAATAATTTTCTTCAATGTCAGTTTTAAAAAAAATGTAAAAATTTATTAAAATTGATCACTAGACCCACAAGTTGTGGCTTCGACTAAATGTAGTTGTAAATTCACATAAACCATTTCTGACAGCTAGTAGTATTATACCGAGAGCCATTCATGTTCTCGCCTAGCTGGCCTTGTAAACCAGATGCATTAATTGACGTTTATTTCACACGTCATAATTTTATTTCATTTTTTTTGTTTTTTTTTTGAAAACTATATATTTATTCAATTTTTAGTATTTTTCAAAATATTTCATGCAGTTGTAAACAAAACTAAATAAAAGTTTATCTAAAGCAAACATGTGACGCGCTCTGAAAAAAGGGACCTTAGAAGCAAAAAAAAATATAGGTTATGTTTTGAAATTTTGAAGTGAAAATACACAAAGTGGAACAACTCTCAATACAAATATTATTGATATGTAAGTTTTTATTACATTCAAAATATTCCATAAATTTAATTTTAATTTTACATAAATAAAACGAAACTTTTAACAAAAAAAAAACTGTAGTGATAACATAACCTATAATTTGTTTGCTTCTAAGGTCCCTTTCTTCAGAGCGCGACACATATATTTAATTTAAACAAATGGTACTTTCTAAATCTGAAGTATTAAAATTTTTTATAATATTTACAAAATTTTAAATAACAATTGATAGTTTCACCTAACCTAACAACTATTCATTTTCCACTTGTACTTTACCACAAAAAAAAACATATGCCCGGCATTAAGGAGGTTTAACCCATTAACATAATCTCAAACTAAAAAGTAGTTTTTAACAGAACTAAAAATATATTTAAAATTTATTACACCCTATTTCAACAGATCCAATTGTACAATTTTGGAAAAAAATTATTTTATGTTAAAATTTGTAATTAAATAATATAATTAATTATACATTTTGTATTTTTTTTAAAAGTTAGTGAATAATTGTAATTTTTATGCAATTCTTACAAACAATAGCTCATTTTGCTCTTTGAAAGATTTTCTATAATTCTGTTTGTTGAATTTTATTAAAAATATTTTGTTCAAAAGTTAATAAACAAATAGAATTTTTATTTTTTAAACAAACCATTATTTAACAAAAACACAAAATCAGAATTGTAAAGACTCTTTTAAAGAGAAAAATGAGACATTGTTTGTAAGAATTGCATAAAAATTACAATTATTCACTAACTTTCAAAAAAAAAATACAAAATATTTTTAATTATTATTTAACAACAAATTTTAACTCAAAATAATTTTTTTCCAAAATTGTACAATTGGATCTGTTGAATTCGGGTGTAATAAATTTTAAATATATTTTTAGTTCTGTTAAAAACTACTTTTTATTTTGAGGTTATGTTAATGGGATTAACCTCCTTAAAGGCTACTAACTCTTTATAAAATTTCGCTTTTAACGCGTCGAATTTGTAAAAACTAATATTTCAGTCAAAGAAGACTGCATTGTTTGATTTTCAATAAAAATTGTAAATCCTTAGTTTGTATATCTGTCATTAAAACAGACCGATCACTCCGGTCATATATATTGGTTAGTGACAATAGCGACAACCGTTTCCAAAAAAATATAAAATAATAAGTGGAACATCTGAATTGTGACACTTTGCAGGGAATGGTAGCTTTTTTTCGATACAGGGTGGGGAATTAGAATAGAAAAAAGCAGGGTGAGGCAGGTCACTAACTAAATTCACTAGAATTGCGGTAGTTGATGAGAATTATGACAAATGGCGAGTGGGGATAATGGAAACCAACCATATGGCATATTTCAGACGTTTCACTGGAATTTTCGTGTAAATTTACATGCGCTCATTCTAAATTAACCC